TGAGCGCAAGATCCAGAAAATTCCCTAACACGGAGCTTCCAAAGTTGACGTAGCCAGCCAACCTGCCCACCCCTTAAAGTGTTTATTTAAGTGACTGAGACGAAACAAGATGTCCTTACTCTCTACTTGTATGACTGTTTTCCCCAAATTCCTTAACTGTCTAAAAATGGAATTTGTCTGTTGCTCAGTGCTGTAGGCTGAATTTTGTCCCCCGAAAATAGTCATATGTTGAAGTCCTAACCCCAATGCTTCAGAATGCGACTGCATTTGGAGACAAGGTCTTCACAGTGATAATTAAGTTAAAATAAGGTCATTCGGGTGGGCCCTCGTCCCTGTGACTTGTGGCCTCAGAGGGAATTTGGACACACAGGCAGGCACAGAAGGAAGTCAATGTGGAGACACAGAAAGGTGCCCTGCCCTGTACAAGCCAAGCAGACAGGCCTGGAACGGGTTCTCAGGCCCCCGAGAAGGAACCAAACCTGCCAGCACTTTGATCCTGGATGTCCAGCTTCCACAACTGACAGCCAGTATGTTTCTGTTGTTAGACCACCCAGACCACAGTACTCTGTTACAGCAACGATGGTAATGAGACACCCACGGCTGGCTCCCTCTCTCGCACCCACGGCCCTGTGATGTATGGCCGAGCTGGGACATCCACGGATGAGTCACACGAAGATGGCTTATTCATTGCTCCGACGAGCTCACAGGCTGAACCTTTGAATCACCACTTTATTTATCACTGGGCTTGGGCTCAGAGTCTTGACTAGGAAGTGAGTAGAACCCAGACTCATCAGCTGCATTTCTGAAACATGCCTAATCGCGGAGGCTCTTTCCCCGCCAAGATGAAAACTGCCAGGAGGCGAAGGAATGGGGCTCCGAGCCGCCACCGTGGCGGCAGTGGTGGCGGGTTGGTGTGGAGACAGAGCCCTTTGTTCTGCCACGCCAGGGACAGCAAGGGCAGAAGAGAAGGGCCTGTCTTGCTCAGTGGGGAGGCTGCCTGGGGCCGAGCAGGGGCTGCCTGGCACAATGGGGTTGGGGACACTGGACGCACAAAAGCTGGTGGGTGGGGCATGGGGGTAGCACCCAGAATGTGCTGTCTCCTCCCATGGAGGTAAAGCAGGAATGTCATGGCCGGTGGGACACGCATAGGAGGGGTCCGCGAGGGAGGGACGCACCAAGACAAAAATTAAACATTGTGTACTTGGGAGCGGATGGGCGTCTTCAGGCAGAAGGACAAACAGGAGGAGATAATGTGGCTTACAAAAGCCACATTTATCTGTGGCTACCTCCAAAGTAGCTCTTGAGAATCTAATACCTCTAATCTCAGAAGAATAGCAACAGTTCGCTCCGAGACGAAGATGGTTCCTCCGGAAATCTAGGTCAGTCACACAAAGAAGAGAAAGACAATGGCACTCACTGTCCCTGTGAGTTCCTCCTCGTTTGCCCATCCTCAGGGCACATTGCCTGCCTGCTCCCCCTCGGTCCCTTCCAAACGGTCCCTCCTTTTTAATCGAGATCCCCTCCCTCCAGATTAGGAATTGACTGGATGGCAGAACTCAGTTGCTGGTCTGTGCCTCCCGCCCCCCATCCTCCAGGAGCTCAGCAAATACCAAAGACCTATGGAGGCAATGCTGGGCCCAGGGGGGAGCCAGATTTTACTACAGAGTGACAGTTCTCATGCCTGGGGCAATTCTGCCAGGCAGAATACTACCGGCATCTCATGAGTGCAGGCCAGGGATGCTGCTCAGCACCCTACAGTGCACAGAACAGCCCTCAAAGCAAAGAAAGACCCAGCCCCACACGTCAGTGGCAGCATGGTTGAGAAACTCTGCTCTAGAGATTTTGGCTTCACCAATTTAAGGTTACTAATGACCCGTCACGTTTCCAGAAAGCCCAGGGAGCCATCTCTGAAGTTATCACCTGTCTGCACCTGTTTCTGTATCAGGAAAATAGGAACAAGGACCCTCCTGCTGGTGGCTGGCAGAAGAGTTGGGATGTATACAAGCATTTACCACAGAAGATGCTTAGTAAAAGACAGGCCTGCAAAGGTATCTGCTTGCGCAGTCCCTCTGCCTGGCTTGGTTTAACACTCCACAGCTTTCCAGGTTTGGCGTGGAGCCAACAAACTCTTACGAAGAAGATGCTGGAATCCCCCTTGTCCCAAAGCTTGCATTGATCATCCCTAATTCTGCCCGCACGATATCCTGTGTCACCTCTGTCGCCACACCCACTGCTGTCGCCACACCCACTGCCTGATCAGAATTCCATTATCTCTGTGCGTGTGTGTGTGTTGGGGGGGGGGGGGGGTT